CTCTCAGTGTCAAAATGTTCTTGAAAACACCATAAAAACACAGACACTACAGCCATAAGGGTCGTAGAAGCAGCTTAGAGAATGAGTATGTGGATATTTACACTCTTAGCTCCAATTTCATCCAAGAGAGTGGCAATTTCCTTTGTGACTTTTGGCAACTGTGTCATGCATGTTAATGAATCCGAGGATCAGAAAATACCTGCTGCTTGGTAGTTGTCCTGAGGCTCCCTGGGGTGCCAGGACAAGGTTCAACTAGGGCTACATTTCTCTTAGTTTTATTTTTAAGGACATTATTATTGTATTACATGTTTTAATTTCACAGAAGTTCGATCATCTAGTAAATAAACTAGAATATTAGACATTCAATGGATTGTAATTTTAGGGAACATTGCAATGATTATCTTCACCAAGAATGAGATAAGAACAAGTTAGCATAGAAAGGTTGTCTTTCTTTACCAGTTCTGTAACTTTGAACAAGCAATTCAGCCTCTCTGAGCCTCAGTTTCTTTATATGTAATAAGGAATAACAATAGTCACTTGCTTGCATTGGGAATGAAATATACTTAGTACAATATCTGACACGGGGTAAGAAATTCAATAAGTATTAGTCAGTCATTATTAGTAATAATTGATGACATTAATTTTCAGCCTATGAATATATTATGACTTGGAAACTTTCTGTACCAAGAATTGCAAACAATAACAACAAATCTTTGACAAAAAATTTGTCAAAAACAAATTGTGTTTGACCCAAACAGTATTTTCAAACACATATATTTGACTCCTCTGTTTAGGCCTGGTATTTATTCTTTATTTAGCAACTAGTCTCTATGGTTACTTCCTGCTGTCATTCATTTGCTTTACTTGCCTGATCCATAAAGTCACTTGAGTTTGTGACTACTGATCTAAACTTCTGATTTTATGTCTTAAAAATTCAAAAGATGAGAAAGGAAGACAACAGAAAAAAAAATGGCCAACTTTCTGTGGTTGACATTAAGAAAGGGAATGGGAGAAAATGATAAAAATCTGCTTCACTGATCCATGCCCAGGACTTAGAGAATTTCTGTGTGTTCTTCTTATTAGGCACTTAACCATAGATTGACTTTTATTATCTACTCACTCATGTTGACTTGTTTTATCTTTGTAAGAAACCTGCAATCTTATTGAGGACAGAAACCTATTACATAGTTGCTTAAAAGAAAAAAAAAATCACAGAATGCCTAGCTCAGATCCTTCCTGTATAATATTTCCATAATAACATTACTTACCAAGGTAGGTTTATATCTGTAATAAATGTGCCACTCAGGAGTCATGGGGTTATTAGGTCATGGGGCCTACATATGTGTGGGGGAAGGGATTATATGGGCAGTTTTGCTCCTTCCTCTCATTTTCATTATGAACCTAAATTGCTGTTTAGAATAAAAAGGCTAGAACTTGTTTTTTAAAAAATTGCTGCATAGCATATACTGAGCACTTGCTATATGCCAGCTGTTCTATCCTGAGTGCTTTGCTACATTTATTCCATTTAATCTTCACAATGATGAAGTAAGGCAAGTAATATTACTTGTCAAATGAGGAAATGGAAACTTACAGAGGTTATAAAACTTGCCCAAGGTCACAAAGGTAGCAGAGAGCAAAACCAAGACTGAAACTCTGGTACCCATAGACCATACTTCTCTACATTTGTAGATACTTTCTACCAAATAAATAAATCAAGAAGAAAATTTTATTAACTAAATGCTGAATAGTTGGACATAAGTGAAATCTTGAAGCTCACTTGCAATTTGTTACTTAACAATAACAACATGTTTACTATTGTGGATGTTGGAATTTGAGTTGTATCTAGTCTGCTGCAAATTTAGCATGTGACCCTAGGATAGATAAACAACACAATGTCATGGAAACAAACAATTACAGAACACTATAGTAGGGTTTTAACTACCATTTGAAAAAAATGCTATGGAAACACAAGATAAATTTGTTGTGAAATAATTCACCACATACAGTCAACATTTCTATAATTCCTGCCAAGTGCCGAGCATCGTGCTAAGCAAATAAGAGGTATTCAACTCACAACCACCTTATGAAGTAGTCTTCATTATCCATATTTACAAAAAATAAACTGAGCCATGAAATTTCCTTGTGTTCTTTTTTACTATCAGAAAACAAAGCTTCAGAACTGCCTCTATTTGTGTGTATGTGAGTGAGATGCTGGGGATTGAGCCCAGGGCCTTCTGCATGCTAGGCAAGTACTCTACCACTGAGCCACATCCCCGACTGTACACCTGCCTCTTTAAGGGACCTCCAGCCAATTGTAGGAACCAGTAGGGTTCTTGGTTGTCATTGTCTGACTTGGTTCTCACATTTATTTATTTTTTTCTCAGCTGGGGTTTATAATTCCTATTGTTCTTTATGCACACACCAGTTCTTAAACTTGCTGATCTTGTTTAACATTTTCCTTGTGTTCACCTTATTGCCTTATATCTAATGTAAGTTTCTTGCAAGCATGGTCCTTAGAATCTCTATTTTTTTTTCTACATCTCTATCACATCAAACATGAGAGTTTTGTCAGTTATTTGGTTGTTTGATTTGTCATTCCCATGATGAAGATTCTAGATCAAAACCAAACCATGATTTTTAACATTACAGCATATATATTCTCCTTAAGTCAATTATACAAAACCATATATAACTATATATACAACTGTATATAACTATATATACAACTGGCAAAATGCAGGAGGGGCCTGTGACTATTGTTTATCAAAGGGCTATTGCTGATGGAGGGTATTTTGGCAACATGGAACCAAAACCTTAAATACAAGCTTGCCTTTGGGCCCAACAGTTTCATTTTCAGGAATCTACTCTAAAGAAATAATTGCAGTTGTGTATAGAGATTTACATATCTTTAATAGCAAAAAGAAAAAAAAGGACGATGGACGATGAAGATGCTGTCAACTAATTATGATACATCCATGCAAAGGAAGGCTATGTTAACAACTTAGAAAAATATGTAGAAAAATATGTAATGACATGGAAAAATATTCTCCATCTATTTTAATCTTTTTATAACAATGTTTCAAACATATACAAAGTAGTGAGACTAGTATAACCCATCCACGATTACCTACTCATGACCAATCTTATTTCATCTGTTATCAGATTTATTTCCCTACTCCTCCCTTCCTCATCCAACTGAAGAAAATCCCAGCACTCTCATCATAGCATTCATAAATATTTCAGCATATATCTCCAGGTAATAAAGATCTATTAAAATACAAAACCACAACACCATTAACACACCCCTGAAATTGCCAAAAATGTCTGAAGATCTCTATCTAGACAGTATTTAAATGTCTTTGATGGTCTCATAATGTCTTGTCTTTTTTTTATTATTATTCTAGTTAAGATCTTAGTCCATTTTATGTTGCTGTTATGGTGTGATATGAGGGGTCCCTGTAAATCTCCTGTGTTAATGCAGGAATGTTCAGAGGTGAGCTGATTGGATTATGAGAGCTATAGCCCAGTTGGTTGATCCTAGTGTGAATGGACTAACTGGATGATTAAGCTCATTGTCTTAAGGGGCTGAATTGTGACCCCCTGAAATCCATACATGGAAGTCCCAACCTTCCCAGGACCTCAGAATTTGACTGTATTTGGAGACTGGGCCTTTAAAGAGGTCATCAGTTAAAACAAGGCCGTCTGCGTCGGCCTATCCAGCAGGACCGGTGACAGGCTCAGACCAAAGGCCATGTGAAGACACAAAGACGGCCATCTGCTAGCCAATGAGAGGCCACAGAAGAAACCATCTCTGCCAACACCTTGCTCATGGACATCCAGCCTCCAAATTGAGAGAAAATAAACTGTTGTTTAGCCACCCAGCCTGTGGTCCATTGTCACGGCCGCCCTTCCAAACTAATACATAGGTGGTATTGTGCTCTTTCATTGGAAGCCACATCATCCATTCTCGAGTATAATATTCTTGAGTGGGGTAAAACATTACAAATAGCAATTTATATATATACATATATATCTCAACCATCTTGAACCACAGTATGTAGCCGGCACTGTTCTAAACACACAACACACACTATATTACTTCATCCTTACACCAGCCTCACAGGTAGGTAATATTGTCATTTGTAGGTAATAAGACTAATTCAGAGATTTAGGCCACAACCCCAGGACCCACACACAGCTAGCGAGGGGCAGAGCCGAGATTCAGAGCCAGCTAATTGGGCAGCAAGCCTAGAAAATTTCCATATTGTGAATACAACAATCATGGAGTTCTTAGGAACCAGCCCAAACTGGATAAGAAAGCAGATAAGGGAGGGAGAACTCTCCCAGGGAGGAAACCAGGCACATTTCTCTACAGACTAAGTGAGGTCCCAGTTCTGGTCCTCATGCTTCACTCTTCAGTCCCTAGCAGCTATCTGGTGGTGACAGGTTCCTCTCAGGTCCCCAGGGACGCACCACGGCATTATCTTTCACTGACCTGCCTCTTCCCTCCTCCCTTGCACCCACTAATAACCCTACACTTCGTGTTCACGTTCATGGCTGTTTCCTTCTGTTTTCATTTACTTTGGATCAGGTTTCTTTTTGATTCAGGATTAAGAAGCAGTGAAAAAGGTTAAAAGTACAGGCTTTGGAATAAACCGACCTGGACTGGAGTCCCTGTTCACTGGGTGACTTTTGGGTGGGGACCATATTTTCTCTGGGCCTTGGTTTCCTCATCTTTACAATGGAGTTAATTATAGCACCTACCTCACAGGCTGGCTGTAAATGAACTAATGCATATAAAATACATCTCGCGGGGTCTAGAATTTAATAAGGCAGCTTTGGAATGTTAGCCCTGAAAGATAAAAGGATGATAGAGAGAAGTGATGCGTGACCGCATGTCCCAGTATTCCCAGTGTATGCCGAGAATGAAATTCATCATGGAAAAAGCAGGTCAAATGACTGCAGCTGACTTGGTCACCAGCAGAACTTGAACGCCAAGTTCCAGGCACTCATGCTTTCCCCACACTGGCCCCAGATCACATTTACTGCTTTTTCCAGTGACTTTTTAAGCTATCTTATCACTCAATCAGCTCCGGACAAATGGCATTGACTTTGGAAATTATTCTTTGAGTACAGTTAACTAAATAACAGTGGATCTATGAAAGAAAGCCTAAGGCAAGTTTCTTCCTGAAATCTCTGGCCACTAGCTCTGAACAGCGATGGGAAATTTCAGCTCTGGTAAGCACGTTAAACTGGATCTTATTAAGTCAGTCTATGTCGGGACTATCTCCCCCTCTTCCCCATTGAGAAAGATGCATTGTATTTGGGTCAAGCCAGCTGCGTGGTTGTGACCTTTGTTGCTGGCAACCACTGTGATGCAGCCAGAGATGATCTAACATCTTGTCTCCATTACTGTGGCCCAGACCACACCAGGGCTGCCAGCTGGGTCCTGCCCTGCTTGCTCTCCAGCTTGTTGGCCTGGTCATATTGGAGCAATGTCAACCTGCTTTTGTCTTCTGTCTTCTTTAGGGTGGGCTTCAGAACTGGAGAAGAAGTCATGACACTGACCGAGTGATTTAACACTCCGACAAGGGACGCTGTGCCATGTGCACCTCGGCCCTGGAATGCCTGGGGTTTGGGACTGTGGGGCAGCCTCCAGATGGCCTTCCTGTGGGTGTGCACACTCTCAGTGTGACCTTCTGGGTTTTCAAGGCCTCCACTCTGCTGGGGTAGGGTGGGCAGTGGAGGCCAGTGCAGAGAGAGCTATAGTTTCCTTTTTTATTTTCTCTGCCTTTTCTTTGGAGACCATTCTGAAATTAAATGTTAAAATAACCAATTCCAGAAAAGAGAATTATGTCGTCTTATCTGATGCCCCTCAAATGCCATCACATCCAAGCATGACTGCTGATCTTTGCTGTTCATAGCTTGGGGTGTTCAAATAAGATTTAGGAGGGCACTAGGAGGTTTTCCTCCATGGGTCTCCCCCGCCACCCCGCCTTTATTTGTTCCTGTGCCATCAAAGAATAACTTCCAAAGTCAATGCCATTTGTCCAGAGCTGATTGAGAAAAGAGAGCAATTCATGTATATTTTTGGTTGGTAGCTTTGAAGGTTGCCTTCCAAGTGAAATGTTAACAAAAGAGTAGCTGGCAGCCCCAACAAAACAGTTATTTTATCCTATTAAAATAGTTTGCAAGAAACTTATGTTAGGTTATGTGTTATATTTCACCAGAAATGTCCTACACAGCTTTTTTTTTTTTGATGAAGTGATGAACAGAGCATTGAAGGTTGACATTTGATTTATTTCTGTCAACGGCGATATTTTCGATGTACAGTCTTCTGTCCAAGAATCCCAAGTACATAGTGTTGGCTGCTCATCAAAATAAAATAAATCCCTAATCTCCCTCATTTGGAAGCTAAGCAAAGAAAGTAAAACAAATAAGTAAAGAAAGAGAGAAAGAAAAGAAAATGTTCTTGTTAATTCAGTGAAACCTAGAGTGAAGAAACTTAAAATAATAAAAATAAATAAATAAAATAAAAAATAAATAAATAAAATAAAAATAAATGTAGCTCCCAACTGTTAGCCCTCAGTATGAAAAGTCAGGCTATCTATCTATCTTTCTTTCTTTCTTTTTAAATAAATTTAAAAAGTGATGAACAGAGCATTGAAGGTTGACATTTTCTGGAAGTATGGACTGTAATCTAAGTTTTACCCTTTTTTATTCAATAATGCCAATGTTTGTGATTAGTCCTTTAATTAAGATTTCACTTTTTTTCAATAAACAGATTCGTATATTGCACCTGCTATGGTTTGAATGCTTTTGCCTCTTCCAAAATTCATGTTGAAACTTCATCCCCCTGGATTAGGAAAATCCAGGCTTTTGGAAAATCTTGAATGGAATGAAGAGTCCTTACAAAAGGGCTTCCTGAAGGAGGGAGTTCACCCCTGTTTGCCCTTCCACCTCTGCCCTATGAGGACCCACGTTCCTCTTCTCCAAAGAGCACAGCAGTCAAGATGCCATTCTAGAAACAGGCAAAAGACCCTCACCAGACAAGGAACCTTCTGGTACCCTGACCTTGAAAGCTTTTCAGACTCTGTAACCATGAGTAATAAATTTCTATTTTTATACATTAACCAGTAATAGCACAAGGAGACTAAGACAGTACCTAACTGTACTCATAGACCAAGAGTTCCTCTGTTGTCCTTGGTTAAATCTCTGCTGTTGTTTGAACACTCTTCATACAGGAAAGGAGAAGGGACGCAATAGATATTGTGCCTCAGTATATAGTCCACCTGGTACTTATAAGTATAACTTCAGGAAATCTTCACTACCATGTATAAGCAGAGAACTTTTATTTCTTATTAGATATGAAAAGATTCAGAAAAATAAAATAATACCTTACCCAAGATAATATAACCAGTAAGATGGTAGGAATTGGATTTTGACTCCAAGATTCTTTGGTTTCAAAGTTCATGCTTATCTTTAAAAAATTATATTGTAGCCCACACTCCTTACTTTCATATTCTCTCAGAGATGAGAACACTTGAACACAATAAACTCTTTTATCTGAAGTTCAAGTAAATATTTGGCCCCCTGATGAATTCATCTTTTCCATAGAGGATCCAAAAACAAGTTCAAACCCTTGCAGAAAATAAGTTTGAATTCTTTGCCACATGCTGGGTAGGGGCTAGGTCCTGATAACTATCTAGATTCTTACTTAGAACAAACTAGACTCAGGGCAAACAAGCCATAGCAAATGGTAGTGTTTGGTTTAGAAATTTTTATTTCTCCTTCAGTATTATAAATGATACTTTTTCCAAATATTTTTTAAATTGACACATGAAAATTATACTTTTTGGGGGGGGTACCATTTGATGTTTCAGTACATGTATACACTGTACAATGATCAAATCAGAGTAAATATATTTCCTCAAACATGTATCCTTTATGGCAAAAACATAAAGACAGAGCAAGATGGCAGCTAAAATTCTTCAGTTATTGTGTGCCCCTAGACATACCAATTTGAACAGCTATTCACACACACACACACACACACACACACACACATAGATCAAACTACTTTCATAGGAGCTAAGGAAGTCAGGTGTTGGCCACAGAGCTTGATTTTAGGATAATAGTAAGAAAAGTTACATTGAAGAAAACAAGAAAGGTATTATGGACTGAATGTTTATTTCTTCCCAACATTCATATGTTGAAACCCCAAGCCCCAGAGTGATGGTATTAGAAGGTGGGAATCAAGGTAGAGACCCCATAAATGAGGTTAGTGCCCCAGTAAAAGAGATCCTAGAGAACTCTCTGGTTCTTCCTTCCACCATGTGAAGATATGACAAGTTGACAATCTGCAACCCAGAAAAGAGGTCCCTCACCAGAAACCAACCATGCTCACACCCTAATCTTGGACTTTCAGCCTCCAGAACTATGAGAAATAAATTTCTACTACTTGTAAGTTCCTCATCTATAGAACTTTTCTAAGACAGAACTGATTAAGATGGAAGGCAATCTACTCAGTCTACAGACATAAATGATATCCTCATCTAAAAATACCCTCACAGAAATACCCAAAAGAATATTTGACCAAATATGTGGGCACTCTGGGGCCCAGGCAAGTGAATATGTAAAAGCAACCATTACAGGTGACAATCCAAGGCCTGGGAGCTCCATTTCTACCCATGTTCCATGAAGGTGATTCAAAGGACCTGAGATACTATCTTGTTTTTCTTTTCCTATATTGCTCAGAGTACCTAAATGAAAGCAACAGAAACCAAACCTGGTTTGTTCATGCATCTATTGGAAGGATATCTGCTCACTAACAAGGATGTGAGGATGTCAAAACAGAACAAAAATAACGAAGAGTCTGGGCAGTAGAAGTAGCTTGCAGAACTCAATCACCAATGACTTAGGATCTCCACCACTGGACACTGAAGCCACACCACTGTCAATGTTAAACCAGTGCCACTGCTGTGAATCAAATCTCATAACTGTTCTCTCTTTGCACCATTCTTTCAAGGGTCAAAGTCCCTGGGGAGGGTTATTTGCCTAAAAAGGTCAGGTGCCTTCATCCTAACCTCAGAAGAATGGGAGAGAAAATATAGTCTTTCTGTGATGGATTCTTTAGTGGGAGTTAGGACCCTGACTTCCACCTGTACCACCACAGTGGAAGATTCCTTACACCTAGAAAGTGGATTCAGATGCTGGAAGACCAAACAGTAACGATTGTGCACTGCAGTTCTACTAGAACTGATCTGCTGTTCAAATGACCGATCGGTACTTAGAATAAACTGGACTCAGGGAAAACAAGCCAATTGGTAAAGTTGGCATAGGGAATTCTAATTGGAAGCAACATCTGAGAAAGGGTAGTTTGCTTGCTTTTAGGAGGACTTAAGGTTTGAATCCCAAGCAGAAATTTAGGAAAGAGTCCCTTAATCAATTAGCCTCCTGAAAAGTACTTATTGGGCATTGGTTATGCTTCTAGGATGGTTGGTAGGTACCAAAGAACAATCCTTGCAAAATAAGTAGACCTTCAGCTTTCACCCTTTCCGCCTGCAGACTGTTTGCATTTAACAGGAGAGAGAAAGGAGGATCCTCGCAGAAGCTGGCCCTGTCTGGAGTGTGTTTCCTATTATTTGTTGGGTTTTCTGGGCTTGCTTTCTCCTTAGGTCCATAGGTCCCAGTCCCTGGAGCAAACTTGCACATAGAAGCTGATTGGATTGAGCCAGTAACCATACTCAGGGACGTTTCTCTGTAGGAAAGAGTCCTCGCCTGTAGAGAAACCAGATTCCCTCAAAAATCTAAAGAAAGCTATAGCCCCTGCCCCTGAAAATTCATGTCTTCTATCAAAAGATAAATTTTGACAAATTTAGTTAAATGATCTAATTGACTTTTACTTGCAACTTATAGATCAGGCAGCCTCTCTTGTGAAAATAGGCATGCAGGAAGAGCTAGCTGGGTTTTGTGAGGTAGCCTGAGCAGAAACAAGGAAACCACACCATGCGAAAGTGGACTGGTGAGCATCAGGTCACTTCCATTGTTTTCCTTGGAAGGGTTAAAGCCCAGAGAACTTCCTTATCGCACCAGCTAAAACTGACCAGCTTTGGAATTTAGCTGTTATCTCTCTCCTGATTCTGCAGAAGATCACAGAAACAACTTAGTTTTGGTTTGGTGAATTGGAACTTCAGACCGAGTGACTCCATCTCGGTTTAGTCTGTTGGGGCCTAGATTCTATTTAACACAAGTACCAATGATTTGTAAAAACCACTTGAGAAACAGTATAAGCTCCTTGAAGCTCAAAGGAATAAGAAACTCGGGTTAAGAGTCTGTGTTCTAAGAAAATAGAAAACATCCTCCATGAATATTTCTTTCTTTACATTTAAGATCAGAGCATGAAATGCAAAGGAAAGGCCATCTTTCTCTAAGGGACCTCTGGGTTCAACGGCCTTGTATCAGACAACTTGAAAGTGAATTCAGATTCTGGGAAGCCAAAAAGTAGCAATTGTGCACTGCAGTTCTATGAGAACTGATCCGCTGTTCAAATGATGGGTCAGTGCTCAGAATGAAGTGGACTCAAGGCAAACAAGGCAACCGGTACACTTCCAATCATCTTCAGGGGCCCCAAGGTTCTGGCTGAACCTGATACCAAGTCCCCCTGAGGACCAAAAGGATCAATATCTCAGCACTCATAGTTCGCATCTAGTTGGAAAGTCTGGCATAGATCTCTTTTCTGTAACACTAAATGGGTATTTAAATGATCTGGCAATTAAAAGAGGCAGTCTTTCAAGGTGACCCGGGATAGACTTTGGAGCAAATGAGTCCTGAATTCTACTTCAGTGATGAGGAAAATCCTGGGTACAACTTACTTAGTCTTTTTAAGCCGATTTTGTAGCCATAACAGAGAAGAGTGAGGGCTGGGGTGGTGGCTCAGTGGTTAGAGCACTTGCTTACAGTGGTAGAGCATAGTGCTCTACTACTGATCCACAACCCGGCCCATGTGTGAGGCACTATGTTCAATTCTCAGCACCACATATAAATAAATAAATTAAATTAAAGTCTATCAACAACCAAAATTTTTTTTAATTAAAAATAAAAATTTTTTTAAAAATAGTGACTACTTCCCTGGAGTGATTTGGAGTCTTAATTTGATAATATGGAGCAAGTAGACAGTGTCTTACATCTAACATCACTAATAAAAGTTTTGCAAAATTATCATTATTATACATACTTATTAAGTATTCCAACATAAGAACCATTAATAAGCTATTTGCAAGAAAATAAATATGTAACATTGTTGAACATTATCTTGGGTTGGGCACTAGACTAAGAACTTTTCCATAACTCACCTCATTTGAATTTTCCAACAACCCCATAAGGGGTTGTTAAAATATTTGATTTATGTTTAAGTACTGTTAAAATATTTAATTTAAAAATGAGGACACTTCCACC